CCTGGAGGAAATGCCTTAGGCTTTATCCTTGACAGTCCAGAGTCAACACCAGCCCTCCCTGAGTCCCTGGGAATCTTTTCCCATGAGGCAGAGAAACGCAGAGGACAAAGAGTCCTGTGGGCAAAAACATACAGGTTATGTGAGGCCGGTCTCTCTGTTGGGGGTCACAAGTGCCCGCCCACATGTTAAATATCCATTGCTGGGAATCCCATCATTCTGGGGGTGGGGGCAGCTGACAGCTGTGTTAAACTGGATAACTTTCTAGTGAGATGTCTGGCTCAGTTAACCCTTTGGGTCATCCCAAAGCCACCAGTTAAAGCCTTTGGAGCTTCCTGTGTGCAAGGCAGAGCCCACAGCAACGCCTGGATCTGGGCTTCAGCATGATCTAACAGTTCTGGCTGGGCTGGTATCTGGATCCATTAGCCATCAGCAACCCAGATGCTCTTGGGGATTCTGGGGGTCCAGTATTGATTCTGGACTCTGGCCTCAGGCAGCTCCATACCACCTTGCTCTAGATGCCCCCTGACTCCAATCTCAACCTCTACTGCAGCCCACCTCTTCCCTTACTCTATGGGACATCAGAGACGGCTGCTTGCCTGTGTACACTGTAAGCGTGTACATACCTGTGCATGCGTGTGCTTGGAAGACAGTTTCAGCTAAACTGAATATTTGAGACACAAGCAGATCCCTGGAGATGCTTGAGACCTAAAACGTAACACTAGGGAAGTACTCACTGACTGCTTGAAACTCAAATGTAACCATGCATCCTGCATTTCTCCCAGCCACCCTGCTGTACCCAGGACACCCACCCCCAAATCCTGCCTCATCCCACCCCAGGTCAGGTCCCATTTGTTTCTGGAGACTGTGGTTGACCTTTTCAGAGATTACATGGTCAGTTCAGGAAAGGAGTGAGGTGTTTTAAAAGAAGATGGTCACATGCTTGCACATTACAGATCTGTAACTCAGTCTTATGACAGGGAAGGAGGCTTTGATCCTTGGAGGACACAACCCTGTCTTGGGGGCCAGCCACACGGTATCCTGTGAGCATAGTGCCCCCTGGAGGTTGTCTCAGAAGCATGAAACTCAGAGTCCCTTTTTGGGTTCTTCTGAGCCCCTGCTCCAAGCAGCCTGGGTCCTTCCAGATTCCTACCGTGTTTCTGTCATATCCGCATCAACTGTGATGGTGTGTAGGGACTTCCACCTCTACGGGCTTTTTCAAGTCAGCTCAACACTCACCTGGAGTCTCCCCTTTGATGCCCATAAGGGATCCTGTTTAATTACACTTTTTCATTAAAACAGCAAATCCTATAGGACACTGGATTTGAGAACAAACGTAGGTGACATTAGAAGGTTGTCTCTCCCTTTGTGGGAGCAAGTTTGCCAGTGCATGTTTAGAGGGACAAGGGACAGCATGAATTACAGCTCTGTGTAGTCGGGTGATGTAAAACCACTCTCTTGGGCTGTGTATTCAGTCAGAAGTTTCCCCCACCCTGCCTGTGAGTCGGACACTATTCTACCAGTCTCTGGGACACCCAGGGATTCTCAGATTCCCAACAACACTGCACAAGCAGGAAGGCAATGTTCCTGATGGAAGACTTGGGGCAGTGACAGGCTGGGAGACTGTAGAAGAGGGAGGCAACGTTCCCAGCTGGGGAAGGGCAAGCTATGAGCCACCCCTACCCCCAGTACTGACACTAGCCGCAGTCCAGGAAGCAGGGAACTGCCCTGGGATCAGTTACAGCCTGAGGCTTGGGAGCATGTGTAAATAATGTGGAAGTATTCAGAACATATTAAACCAGGCTGACCATTCAGCGGGGAGGAGAATGGAGGAGGCAGAGTGACACGATGAACTGTGGCCTCGGGACTCTAAATTATGAGCAAGTGTCTATGCCCAAGTTGGGACAGCTCAAAGTTGATGGCCAGCTGTTCTGGGCTCTGCCTTCTAGGAGACAGACGTGGGTTGGGCTGGCACTTTTGAGTACAGGCTCTGGGACTAGGCAACAGTCGATTGTAGTGTCCCAGCATGGACAGCAGGGGGTGCCAGATACTTCTTAATCATTACCAATGCTGTCATTCCTGGTAGCCACAGGCCCCTTCCAGGTTGACAGCCACGGAATGGAAAAGGGTGGCTGCTGTCCAAAAAGACTGCCTTATACAGCCTAAGCATCTCCTGACCCCAAGCATGCAGAGACTCCTGAGGTCTTGGATGTCTCTGAAGGAGGTCCTGTGTGGGGCAGGGGAGCAGGGACTCGGAAGCTTTCAACTTGCCAACCTGATATGGTCCATCCTTCTGGAGCTTGTGAGGATACCAACCCCTCCCCCTGCCCAGAGTTAAATTTTAGAAGGAATCCTAGCTGTTATCAAAGAATGAGACTCATTGTTTTGGGATTCCCACCAAATGTGGATATACACACCCCTGGGAGGCATTTAACATTTTGTTGTTGTTGCCTTTTTTGACACTTTCATTGATTAGTCAATGCATCTTTATTTGTAAGTGTTCATTGCAATGAGTCATCGGTCTCGTTCGAAGCCCAGAACCAGGGCTATGAGTTGGCCCACCCCAACATCCACCCCATCTATGAACTGCTGGAGCACGTGAAGGGGCTGGACTGGCATCTAACATTTTTAAAAATGAAATGTACTTATTGTACATGTGTTTGCAAGTGTGTCATGGGTGTGGAGGAAATGAATTCTCTCCTTCCACCTTGTGGTGGGGGTGGGAATCGAACTCAGATCATCGGGTTTAGCTGCAAGCACTTCTACCTGTTGAGCCAATTTTTGTTTTTGTTTTTGTTTTTGTTTTTGTTTTTGTTTTTGTTTTTGTTTTTGTTTTTGTTTTTGTTTTTGTTTTTGTTTTTGTTTTTGTTTTTGTTTTTGTTTTTGTTTTTGCAGACAGGGTTTCTCTGTGTAGCTTTGGAGCCTATCCTGGCACTCACTCTGGAGACCAGGCTAGCCTTGAATTCACAGAGATCCTCCTGCCTTTGCCTCCCGAGTGCTGGGATTAAACGAGTGCGCCAACGCCCAGCTTGTTGAGCCATTTTAATGGTCCCCCTTGAACTTACTTTGAGTGAGAAAGGGAGAGAGAAAGAGATGGATGGTGCAGTTCGAATGAGGAGGGTCTCCATCCAGGCCAGTGAGATAAGAAGTTTGAAAGACTCATGTAGAGAGAAAGTGTCTGGGGCAGAGATGTGAAGTGGGGAAGGAGGTGTGTCCCGGGAGGTGAGGGGACCTGGAGATCAACTGACCCCCTGTAAGCTAGCGTAAGTGACAGGGAGCTGCCGCTGGTGGGGCTGTTCCATTTAAGGTTTTCTTTCGTAGCAGTAATAAACTGAGAACAATACACACCCAGAAAGGGAGAAGGCAGACAGACATCCAGTTTCCTTTCCCAGACCCATCACTGCTTACTAGCAGTGGACTCTTCTAAGCTCAGTCTTGTATTAGGAAACCACATATTTCCTTCTATGCCCTATTTCTACCATGAGTGACTTTCCATGTCAGCTTCAGATATGGGCTCATCAGGGGTGGACAGTCGACTGCCACACCTTGGTGGCCGTCTGATGGCCAGATGCTCAGGCTCAGGGTGTCTGCTCCTTTGGGTTCTGACTAGACCCTCTTCTCTTTGCCAGGTCGCCTGTGCCCATGCTGCAAACCACAGCTGTGAGCACAGTTGTGCTGTCCTGGTTGTCCTTGTGAATCATATACTTGGAGACAGTTCATGGATCCTGACACGTCTGCCCGATGGCAGCCTCACCTTTGCAGCATGGAGGCCAGGGTTCTGGAAATGAAACCCAGAGGCTCTCTGCTGCATGGCTGCATGCCAGTATGACCAGACTATACTCCTCTCTGGGTTTCTGGTTGGATTTAAGCTGCTACTTGGGAAAGTATAAGTCATGGGTTATTTGGATGAGGGGCCATTACAAAGAACCTGGGATCCTTGGGCCACACAACTCCAAAACAGGGTACCAGGATCCTTGAGAGTTCCAAGGTGTTAAAGAGCAATGGAGATCATTACCTTGGAAACAGGCCTTGATTCCAGCAGGGTGCTAGGACCCCCAGGGGGCACAATGGAGAACTTTAATGTGAACATAGGCTCTGCATCCAGCAAGATGTTGAGACCTCGGGGGTGGGGTCACAGGGCTACACTTACTTGGACATGTGGGCACAGGTTTTAGCAAGAGATAATCACAGTAGCCTAAGTTAAAGGGCCCCTGTTGGCTGCTAATATCCCCTTGGCTGGGACAGTGCCTTCCCATTAGAGTCTTGGAGGAAAACTCTGGTATGGGGAAGGGGTCCAGCTTGGCTTCACAATTCCTGTCCCTGGCTGCTCTGCCGATGTCCTGGGTGAGGGAGTGTTTGCAGGATTACTGGGGAGGCTATGGGATCACAGGGGAGCCATAGCACAGGACAGGGATCTCAGCAGCTCCCTGTCAGATTTAGAGTGGCTTTCTCTGTGGAGAGGAGGGGTATTAGATGCACCCACGCTGAACTCAGCTTTGAAAACTGATGGATTTGCTCTGTGGTCCTATTCCCCCAGCTGCTCCCCCAGCCAGCATGGAAACAGAGACCCACAGTCCTCTGCCTGGGATGAAATATTCAGTTTGATGGCTCAGGCAGTTGGCACTTCCTTCCTTGTCCCCAGCCCTCCTATAAAGAGGAGCCTGAGCATTGGCAGTGACCCCACAAGGCTGCAGATCGACCAACAACAAGGTACTCTCCAGGAGGGTTTGGACTGCTCTCTCTGTAGACAGGGTGAATCTGGTGTGTGTGGCGGGAGTGGGGATTGGGATGGGGGAATCATCTCTTAAATGTCAAAATTATTAAGATTTCACCCCAGAATGGTTTAGGAAAGCAGAAACAGAGTGGTTATGAAGATTCTAGTGCTCCCAAGGGCAGTCCACTTGGGGGTGGCAGGATGGGCTATTCCTAGGGGATAATGGCATCATCCCTGGCTTCTGCTTGCTGCAGGTGGTCCTGAGTATATTGACTGCACCTTGGTGAGGATGCAAGCCCGTGTGCTGTGGTGGCTGGCCCTTGGCATCGTACTGGGGATTCCTGCAGGTGAGGGTCCACTCTGGGACTGGGGGCCCCCCACTGTGCTCCCCCCCCCCCCCCCCCCCCCCCCGCTCTCCTTCACACTGTCCTTGTCCTGGTCTGCAGTGGTTAATGGACGGCTGCCCTAGGTGACCGTTCTCCTTTTCTTTTTGCAGGAGCCAAGCCGATGCCAGAGGAAGCAGGTACATTTTTCCAGTCTCTTTCCTTTCACTGGTATAAGTTACTGGTACACACAGGTGGGTGGGGAGCAGAGGTAGCCTCCTGGCAGACAGACTCCTGGGAGTATGACAATGCAGACGCTGCTGCCAGCAGGGAGCAGTGCACGCTGAGGGATCCAGGGCAGCATCAGGTTGGCCTTGTCTTCTGCCGCTCGGGAGCAGCCAGGCAGAAAGGAGATGAATGGACCCCCAGTGTCCCACCCTCAGCCTGAGCTTAGACCCTGGCGCCCCTCATGAGTCCCAACTCGGCCCAGTCCCACCAAGGTGGTCTGTCCTGTGCTCTAGCACTCGGGTGCTGTGTTCTTTGAAGCCTCATCCGGTATGCTGCCCAAGTTCCTCCCCCGTCACCCAGCTGCCTCCCTGCCCAGCATCTCCCCGGACAAGAACAAGTACCCACTTCTGTCCCCACTTCTCCTCTGTCTACCAGACCAGGTGCCCGAATGGGCAAACGGTAGAATCAGAGTGCAGACCCCACTCCTGGCTGGGGAGGCTCTGGGGACATCATCCACTTGCCTTGGCTGTCTAGGGGGTGTTCTGGCAGGGATGATGGGACAGGCCCTGAGGTGGTTACCTGTGTCTTTCAGACCCCTACACCCAGCCGCCAGCCATGCCCTACTGGCCATTCTCCACCTCTGACTTCTGGAACTACGTGCAATATTTCCAGACCCAGGGTGCCTATCCACAGATTGAGGACATGGCCAGAACCTTCTTTGCACACTTCCCTCTGGGGAGCACCCTGGGCTTCCACGTTCCCTACCAGGAGGACTGAGCAGTGTCCTCCAGTCTGCTGCCTGCTTGGCTGCACCGGCTGGGGCCTACGGTGGTCCAGAGACACAGTGATGGGCAAGGGATGGCACTCGTGCTCAATAAACTGCCTGTGACGATGCTCAACACCCTGTGGGTTTCTTTCAAGGAGCTGATGCGTGCTATGCCACTCTGTGAATTAGCCGGGCTTTATTCTGATGGCCACCTGGGCATCCTTTGATAAAAACATGCATGATTTCTACTCATAGGAGTGCCAATCAGGGCTTCCATCCTTAGGTCTCACCTTGCCATTCTATCCTCATAATGACCTGGGTATGGGCTATGGTGGCCCCAGATTGTAGGTAAGGAGTCTGAAACAAAGACACCAGTTCAGCCTGACCTGTTAAGGCCATGTGCCTAGTCAGGCAAGCCAGACATCGTCCCAGGCAGCTCCTCCCCTTGGCTGCCTATGAACAGCAACCCTGTCAGGGCCAGGCATCCATACTTAGTACACAGCATGTTCCTGGGAGAAGCAGGAATCAAGATGTCATATCCCTGCCTGCGAGGGAAGAGTCATAGCTCACGCTTGGTCTCTGAGGGTAACATTCAGGCCAAGGCTGCTGGGGGAGGGGATTTCCCCCTGGGTAGTCCTGTGGTGGGAGAGGGTGTGCAGATAGTGTGGCATGGTGCAGCCTATGCACAGTTGGTAGGCCTCCCCGACACACACAAGGCATGCAAGCCAAGAACACCCTGGCTAATGTTCCCCACACACACTAGTTGGGAGAGAAACTGAATAGGAGGTTCCTCTTGGCGGCCACGCTGTCTCTGCTTCCTTGGTTTGACCTTCACTTGGGCATCTCAGGACAACACTGACCTGGCATCTGAGACTCTCCAGTCTTTGTTTGTTTCTCTTGGATCCTGAACAGTCTACTTAGGCTTGCGGGGGTGGGGTGGGGGGCAGTGACTGCCCAGGACACAATTCCCATTATATCTTAGCTAAGTCAGTTTCCCTGGAGCTGGCGTTTCCCTTGACCCCCATTCTCACTCTAGCAGCCCAGACCCTAAGCCCTTGACTTCTCAAAGCTGTTAAAGGAAAAACACCACTGTCACCAACTCCACCCCCCCCCAAAAAAAAAACCCAGTCCCTGAACACTATAAAATCAGAGTAAGGGAGACCATCCACAGCCATGTGACAGGTATAAGAGTCACAGCCTTGAACTGCATGGAGAGACTTGGCTCAAAAACATCAGCAAATAGGGCCTGGCAGTCGAGGAGTGGGTTTGAGGTAGATAGGAAATGGCTCAGGAGTAACAGGGGTTTTGCTGAAGGCAGGGTCTGATGACACGGTCTAGGAATAGTACAGGGTGATGGGCCTTACATGGCATGGAGGGCAGGCAGGTGGCAGTTGGTTTCAGGCTTCTTGCTGCATCGACTTCACAGGGATATTTGTTAAACCTGGATCTTACAAGGAGGTGCACAGAGGGTCCTAGGGGAACATCCAGAAGCCTCACTAGAATCTTCTAGACTGTCAGAGTATCTCAGGCTTGCTCTCCCGGTAATCCCCCTCCATCCCTTCCTCATCTTTACCCTAAAACATACCAAACTCTCAGTGAACAGTCCGGGGATATAATGCCTCCCCCCACACACTTCACTTTGCAGATCTGAAGCTGTCCGCTGAACACCTGCCTCTCCTAAGCCACCACACCGCAGCATTTCTAGGAGTTTCACTGCCCTGGGGATCTCGCATGAGTGGGATCACAGCGTTTGTTTTATTTCACTTAACAACATCCTCAAGGCTCACCCGTGCCCATGGGTTAGAAATCCCTTCTTAAGGAAGACCCCATACTATCGTACCACGTGGATAACTCCTGTTGTGGTTTCGTCTGCGTTCACCTCTTGCTTCCTCCTCTTGGCTGAGGTGATCCTGAGCGATTTCCAAGTGAACCTAGGCTGGGATTCTGGGTCACTGCCACTGTGCACAGCTTTTTAGATTTTTAGATTTCTGCTAACCCTAGCAGCCTGGGGGTCCAATCACCCCGGGACCTTCTCGCTACCGCATCACGGGCTGAGGCTTCTGTATAGTAGCCAATCTGATGGTTTAGAACTGCATCCCTGCTGGGAAACAGTCTCCTTTCTCCACCGGCCACTGGTGCTCGCGGGGTGCTTGCTGCTGGTCCTAAACCGGTAACCTGCTGCCCTTCCCTGCTCAGGAGCCGGGTCGGCGGGGCACCACCGAGGCGCGGTCCTCCGGCGTCTAGACCTGTTCGGAGGCACGCCGGAAGTGGACGGGGCTGGCCGGAAGTGAGCGCAACGCGGCAGCTCGGAGATGAAGCCGGCGGTGGATGAGATGTTCCCCGAGGGAGCGGGTCCCTACGTGGACCTGGACGAGGTGGGGCTGCGGCAGTGCGCGGCGGGGCGTGGGGGCGGGAGCGCGACCCGCAAACACGCGCCCCGGGGGAGCCTAACGCCGCCGGCGGCTGGGGAGGCGGAGCTGGCGGGGGCAGTCGCCGGGCCCGAGGCTGTGCGGCCGACGGGACTGCAGCGAGCTAGTCGGGGTTGCTGGTGGACAGTTCTCCGACCGGGGCTCCTGGCAGATCTTCCCAGCAGAGACTTACGGGCTGACGGGGGGAGGGGCAGGGCCGATGTGTGGCCTTGGTGTGCTTTGCGCTGGGTCTCGGGTGTAGACACGGTTTTGGAGCGGCCTTGTGTCTGTGGCCTCCGTCGTGGCCACAGAGCGATTTTATCCGGGGCAGGCGCTCCAGTGAGGTGGTTGTGATCAGGAGTGCCAGTCAGCTCTTGTGTATCAAGCCTCTTGCTCCCCCCAAAACTCAGCGAGCAGACAGATGCTCGATGCAGTCCCTGTCCACGGGATTTTGGTTGGCTCAGCTTTCCCTGAGCCGAATGGAGAAGGACTTGCCCTGGTTTCATGTGGACATGTATGAAAAGAGCCATAGGAGCAGAGCTCTGGAAGAGTTGATGCTCCCTGGACACAAACAGGAGGGGACACCATCTAATTGGGCACAGAGGGGAGGGAACAGGCAGGGCCACATGATGAAGCCTGCAGAACGAGTATGGGCTCCGTGATCCACTGCCGAGGCCGTTGCGGTCATACTAAGGAGAGACAGGCCGATTTCCTGTGGAGGTTGGTCCACAGGAGGGTTTGGAATTTGTAGGGAGACAGTAGAGAAATGGAAACAGGAAGAATTAAGACTTGAAGAGCTTCTGAGTGAGGCAGTGAAGGTAGGGGGAGCTTGGTCAGGGTTTCAGAAGCAGAGTCTGTGCGGCTTACTGTGGCGATGGGACTGGGGAGGGAGGCCAAGCGTCCAGAGAGCAGATTTGAAAGGGAACAGAGGAGGTGTTCAGCCTTTTGAGAACCAGGAGGGGGTTGAGCAAGCAGCCTTGGGGCGTTAGGGCCCAGGCAGGAAGGGGCCTGGGGCTAGCTGTCCCGAGTGCTGCTGCCTGAATGCTCCCACCTTCTGGGTGACTAAATGGCACAGAGTCCCAAGAGTATAATTGTATCTCATAAATCAGGTGGCTGCCTGGAGGGTCCTCAGAGAGCAGCATCCCAGACCTCAGGGCTGGGGTGGTCACCGTCCCAAGGGGAATGGCTGCATTCTCAGAGGGGAGGGTCTAGAGTAGTTACTTGGCTTGCTGCTGCACTGTGTCCTGTGGTGTCTTGAGGGAAGGGACTGAAGACTCCAGCAAGAGAGCACTACACACGGCAATGCCAAAGAAGACTCAAGGAACACGGGACCTCAAGAGACCTTTAAAATAATTTGCTTGGCTTCCCCATTCACACTGCTTCCTTTGTCTGGAAAATTCTGGCTCCAGTCTGAGCATTCTTCCCGTCACTCACTGTTCCGTTCCAGGGAGGAGGGATGGATATGGTAATGAACCTACCACCTGCTTTTAGAAAACAAACACACGGAATGACCTTACCTTTCATTCTCCAGGCCGGAGGGAGCACCGGGCTCTTGATGGACTTGGCAGCCAACGAAAAAGCAGTTCATGCAGACTTTTTTAATGGTGAGTGTGGCAGGATTGGGTGCCAGGCTTAATCTGAGTTTCCCCTGCAGTGGGCAGCTTTGTGTCATGGATAATTTGGATCATGGAGCAGAGTAGCCAAGATCTTATTCTCTTCTCGGTACTATGCCAAGTGTATGGAGTCACCTGGCTGTTAGCTCTGGCTGTCAGCCCTATTTGAGGGGAAAAACATGAACTAAATCCCTCCCCAGCTCACTACCCAAGGTAGCATATGCAAATGGACACAGTGATTTATGGTCTGTATCCCAGACCTGGGTGCAGGGACCTGCATGGCTCTGTCTTCCCTCTACTGTCTCCTATTGGTGGCTTGTTTCCCTGGGTCACACCTGTTTGCCCACCTGGATTCTCATGTCCTGTGCTGCCTTTGCAGAGAAACAGCTGAGCTCTGCTTGAGCTTGCCCTGTGTCTGAAGTCATGATGGAGGGCATGCCTCCATCGCATAACAGAGCTGTCTTGGTTACAGTATTTTACCAAACAAACAGTGAAAGCCGACTGAAGAGTCTCCAGGCATGTGGCAGGACATGTTTGGTACCTCCCATTCCTCTGACTTCTGAAGGCCTCCTTCCTACTGGTTAACCCGTACATAGGGTTCAAATGGCAGCTGGGAATTTAGGATAAGTTTCCCACAGGGAGGGTAGTAGCGTTTCTCCGTTTCATCTCACCTGAACTCTGTGGTGCATGGTTCTCCAAAGAACCAGACTCATCCTGCCATGTGCATTTCTAGCTTACTTGTGGCCCAGATGGGTTTGGGGGCTCATTGGCTTGTGGTTGCTGCTTGTGTGGGGATGCCACCTGTCAGATGGGTGCTTTCCTCACTGGGGACATTGCTTCTTCCCAGCTGCTGTCAGAAGCGGGGAGGGGGATAAGTAGAGGGAGAGGTATGACACATAACACCGGAACCTTCGAAGACATTCTCTAAATTCTGTTCAGGGAGTAGATGGTGCAGGGCTACTGAGTGTTCCCAGCGCAGCCTTGTGGCACCTTGGTCTGTGGCAGCTCATGGTACTTGAAGGACCAGCTGTGCACTGTGTCCACTGCATGGGATTCT